TTTGAATACTCTCCCCACCACTTCACCTCTAAATTTAGTGATTACAAGAACCCTCAAGATTATCATCAAACTAGCCATTGCTTCATTTGTTCTTGTAATTGCTAGGAGAGGAAAAGATAATCAAGTAGTTGCTATAATCTAGGAACCTGGTTTTCAAAAATTACTTGAAATCTAAATTGAGCTTTTTAAAGCAGTACTTAAATTTTGACTCCAGTCATTTCATTAAGACTAGCGCTTGCTGAGAACTCTTTAAATAAGCTTTGAATTACCCATGTCATGCAAAGCAACTGGGAAGAAGGAAAGCTTTCTTAAGAGAGTTGTGAGGCTGGGGGGTGGAGTGGGGAGATTTTGGCATAAACAGGACTTTTCTTGTTAAGGGATCATTTAATTTTGACTCTCACCTGGACTAAAAGGTGGTAACGCAAACACTAAGCTTATGCCTGTTCTTGTCCAGACTTCTCCAGTGGGACCTGCCTGGGGTATGTGACTCCTTCTCAGTCTAATGAGCCTCAAAGATAATGTTTCAAATGAGTGGGTACAAATACAAGAGATCCAGAGTCCTTCCGAAACTGAGCTATTAATCACATTGGCAAGGGACATGGGAGACAGAATCACACAACCCTTTGTTGATGCTGGTGGAAAAGGTGATGATGGTGTTCACCTAGGGTCAGAGCAATTAGGCTGAGGCAGAAAAACAAATGAGCTTATTCCATCATAGATCTGTTGTTACTGTTAGGTGACATCTAATCCATTCCACTTATAGTGACCCCATGTGACAGAGTAGAACAGCCCCATACGTTTTCTTTCCTAGCCTGTAATCTGTGTGGCTAGCAATCATTAGGTCTACTGCTGAGAAGAAATTGGTTCAAATCCTTGAACCGCTGGCCTGTCAGTTAACTGCCAGCTACTACCTCTGAATGACCAAAAAGAACTTTACTCGTGGTACTCAAAGCTTTGTAATACTTGCCCACGCATAGCAGAGGCCTGGCTGAGGGGCCAAGGAGACAAGGTCTAGAGAGAGTCCTGCCTGTGTGTATGGCTAGGAAGAGGCTATATTGACCGAAAATTTCTATCATATTTCCAGATACTGAATTGTAGCCTTTTGCTTCCCAACTACAGACTATAATGTAAATATTGCCTGTGAATTCCAAGTGGCCACTGCAATGAACTCTGCTCAACAGAGAAATACAGAGTGCTGAGGGAGGGATGGCTACTTTCTAATTGGTAATAAGGTTGGAAGCAGAAGTGGCATCTACTTCCTAACCAACATGCCTCAAAAAACTCTATGAACTTTGATAAATGTCGATAGTTACAGAAAGGCTTCAGGCCTTTTGTTCATAGGGTCATGCTATGAGTTGTGCTCAACTTGAAGGCAATCAACAACAACAATATAAGGTTGTAGAAGGGATATCTGTCTGAACTTTGCTTCAGAGAAATCAGTCTTTGTCTGTTATGAGCCTCATTCTCCCTCATGAAATTAAAAGTGATCAGATGCCTCAATGAGGCCGTTTTTCACAGGCACATAGTGAGTCTCCATAAGTCAGAATCTACTCAGTGGTGACTGGTACTTCTCTCTGCCTGTCCATCTCTGTGTGTTGAGCTCGTTCTGACTGATGGCTACTCCATAAGTCAAGTAGAATTGTGCCCCATGGGATTTCCAATGGCAGATTTTTCAGAAGTGGATTACCACACTTTTCTCAGAAGGCCCTTATATGTGAGACACAACAAAATAGGAATAGAAGGGAATTTTCTCAACATAGTGAAAAGTATACACACAAAACCAAAAGCCAATATCATTCTCAATGGATAAAGACTAAAAGCTTTCTCCTGGTGAACATGGACCAAGCAAGGATGCCCACTGTCACCACTTCTATTCAATATTGTATTGGAAATACTTGCTAGGGCAATACAGCAAGAGGCATCACATAGGCAAAGAGATGGTGAAACTGTTGCTCTATGCATACAATATAATAATGTACACAGAAAACCCACAAGAACTTAACAACAACAACAACAACAAAAAAAAAAACTGTTAGAGCTCGTAGATCAATTTAGTAGAGTGGCAGGTACAAGATCAATATACAAAAGTCAGTGAGATTCCTGTACAGTAACAAAGAAAACACAGAGAAGAAAACTAAGAAAGCAATCCTATTTACAATAGCCAACCACAAATTGAGATATTTAGGAATTAGCCTACCTAGAGACACAAAAGACTTTTACAAAGAAAACTACAAAATACGTGTGTGAGAAACAGTAAATTATTTCAATAAATGGGAAAATAGTCCCTGTTCATGAATAGGAAGACTCAATATAGTGAAAATTATAATTCTACTAAAAGCAATCTACATTTTTAATTCAATAGCAATACTGATACTAAATTTATTTTTCAAAGAGATAGAAAGGCAATTGGCAAGTTTTGTTTTGTTTTGTTTTTTAATTGGCAAGTTTATTTGGAGAGAAAAGAGACCTGAAGCAGGATCCTCACCTATCACCATACCCAAAAAATCAACCTAAGGTGGATCAGAGACCTAGGAGTAAAGCCAAAACCATAAAGATCATAAGAAACTAAGTGGGACCAACCTTAGAGTGCCTAGCCCATGGTATAAAAAGGTTGACAAATACAGCCAGAAATACACAATCAGGAGAGGATAAATTGGTGAAATCTTTTCAAGATTAAATCCCTGAGCACACACAGGAGCAGTGATTTTGTAAATTACTACCTTACTTGGGAGGGACTGGAGAGCATTATACAAAATGAACTATCTCAGTCCTATAAGGACAAATGTGGCATAAGGCCATTATTGTAGAATGTGTATGAGGAAGATGGGGGGTGAGGGGGAGCAGAGGTTCGAGGATGGGCGGGGGCAGTAGTAAATCATAGGGTTGCACAATTTGATGGTTGAGGGAGGGGTGGGTAAAGGAAATGGGAAGGATCCTGTGTGAAAAGCAATGTTTATGAACTTTTTAAATAAACCAGTTTAAAATAAAAATTTTATCAAAAAAAAAAAGAGGGGAGAATAAATCTCTGGGCACATCAAAAACGTTTTCCAACAGGGTGAAAAGAAAACTTACAGACTGGGAACAAACATTTGGTCATACCATCTCAGACAAAAATCTCATAACAAAAGTTTACCGAATATTCCCGGGCCTCCTCAAGAAGAAGACTGATAACCCAATTACAAAATAGGCAAGAGAGGTAGAAAGACTTTTCTCAGAGGAACACATTCAGATGGCCAACAGACACATGAAGAAATGCTCAAAATCACTAGCAATAAAATAAATAAATCAAAACCACAATAAGATATCAGCTCACCCCAACAGCAGTGGCAAAGTTTAACAGGACTTCAAGGAATAAATATTGGAGAAAATGCAGAGAGATTAGAACCCTTATACACTTTTGGTGGGATTGCAAAATAGTACAATTATTCTGGAAGATAGTTTGTCATTTTTTCAAAAAGCTGATCTGTTCTGGGGGTGGGGAGAGCAGAATACAGAAATTCCTTATGACCCAGCTATTCCATGATAAAATAAGAACTGAGTCACAAATGAAGATTTGTACACCAATGTTCATACCAGCATTATACACCATCGCAAGAATATGGAAACAGCCTAAATGTCCAACCACAAACAAATGGATTGAGAAATTATGGTACACTCACACAATGGAATACTACACTGTGTTCACAAGCAATTATTTCAAACCTTACAATATAACTAAGGAGGGACTGGAGAGCATTATGCTGTGTGAACTAACTCAATCTCATAAGGACAAATACTACATAAAACCATTATTGAAGCAAATTGAAAAATAATTGTAAAACATATATGAGGGTCCAAAGTAGGGAAGGAGGGAACAAGGAATGAGGATGGGCATAGAGGAAACCATAGAGTCACACAACTTTTTTTGGGGGGAGAAGGTAAAGGAGATGAGAAATGTCCAGTGGGAATCTAAAAAGACAGGGTAAAAGTGGGCATAGTTCAAAGATGATTAATTTTGCAAAACATAATGAATGGGAATGAGTGTGTGAAACACAAAGTGAATGAAGGATAGTGTGAAACACAATGTATATGAACTTTGTAAGCAAGCCAATATAAAATAAAAATTTAAATTAAAAAAAATATAGGGAGCTCTGGTGGCCTAGTGGCAAGAAGCTGCACTGCAATCCCAGAGGTGCACGGTTCAAATCCACCAGCTGCTCTGCTGGAGAAGGAGGGATGATCACCTTCTGTATTAGTCAGATCTCACACACACACACACACACACACACACACATAATAAAATAAAATAAAAATATTTAAAAAATATGTGAGACAAAGTTTCACCATCCTTACCTCCAAGAAGCACCTTGCCTGCACCATTTCCAAAATGTGTTTATTTGTTCTTTTGGTAGCCCATGAGACATTCAACACTCTTATCCAGCATTACAATCAAAGGCATCAATTAATCTTCTGTCATCTTTATTCATTGTCCAACTCTCAACTGCATAGTAAGTAATTAGGAAAAAAATATGGTTTAGTTCAGGTGGTTAGTCTTCAACTGACATCATTGGTCTTCAGCACTTTGGAGAGATTCTTGACGCCTGACTCTCCCAGTGCGATAGGTCTTTGGATTTCCTGGCTTCCAGTGTCAAGGGTGCTGATAGTGGATCCAAGCAAGATTAAACCATTGACAATTTCTGTTCTTCTCCAACTGTCATGAGATTGCCTATATTGGCCCAGGGGTGAGAATTTTTGTTTTCTTGATGTTGAGCCCAGAACTCAGTAACAGATTTATAGTATTACCTACTTTGCAGGAGTACTGTGAGAATTCATTCATATAGCCAAATGCCTGAGTCATACTGATAAAAGATGGTTTGGCTCTTTTATCAGCTATTTTGCTAACCCATGAGTGAACAATGAAGAATATGGGATCTGAACTGGTTTCAGACCAGCCTAGATAAGACATAGTTATTCACATCAGATCAGGAAGAATAACTTCTCACTGACATTTTGTCTTTCAGCCAAACCTCACCGCAAGATACCTTCTAGAGAAGAACAAAGGCCGACAGTCATCCCGCACTAAAAGCCTGTCTCTCGGGTCCTCGTCCCCCAGAGGCAAAGCAACCAACTCACCCGCCCTCCGAAGGGGCCCTGGGTCCAGGAGGAAGGGACCTGGGCAGTTCTCCATCACAACAGCCTTGAATACTCTCAACAGGATGGTCCATTCTCCCTCAGGACGTCATATGGTGGAGATCAGCACCCCAGTGCTCATCAGCTCCAGCAACCCCTCTGTGATCACTCAGCACATGGAAAAAGCAGACATCCCTCCCAGCTCTGTGGGCCAGGTAGGGAACCGACCTTGGAATCAGGGCAGGTGATCTGCACCATGTTGCATGGGAGTTACGCTGCGAACCCAAAGTCAGTCCTCTCTGGTGGTTCAAATCCACCAGGGGCTCCAAGGGAGAACGATGGGCAATCTGCTCCTTTGTGATTTACAACCTCCGAAAACCTGCTGGAAGGTCAATTATGAGTCAGTTCCAACTCAACAGCAATAAGTGAAAGAGTTGAGTTAACCACCACAACAGATTAATAACTATAGAATTATGTAATTTGTATCAGAGCTTTATATGCATGATCTAATTTCCTCTTTGACACAGCCTGTAAGTTAAATATTACTATTTTCCCTCTTTTGCTGATGAAATTGTAACTATATTCTGGAGGTTAGACAACTTTCCCAAATTCTCGCCTTTAGAAATCTCTCTTCCAAGAAGAAAATTACTTCCGTTTTCCAGGGAAATTTTGGCCCTCATGAGTTGAAAGTCACTGCCCATTCCTCTGAATAGTCAATTTTTAGGCAGTATGTGGAAATAATAGAAAAGATATTGTGGATTATCTAGTGGTTTCAAGACTAGTGAAATAATTTGTGGGTCCAATATAAAGTGAAAATGAAGGATCCTTGTACAACAATTATTAATAATTTCAAAATGGCTTAAGACAAGTGCTGGGACCTTCTAAGCACAAGATTCTGGATAGCTATACAGGTGGCATATCCATGAAGCTAACCAACCAATAGGTGACCCTCCAGAGGGTTTTCCGAGGCAGTTAATTGCATGGGAGGAGACTGCCCATCTTTCTCCTGTGGAGCAGCTGGTGGTCTTGAACCATGTGCCTTAAAGATTGCAGCGCAACTTCTTGCCACTAGGCCACCAGAGCTCTTAATAAGACAAAGCCTAACAGAGTGTTGGCACATATTGTTGTTGTATGGCAGCAAGTTTGCACCCACCTCATTGCAACCCCATGTGCAAAAGAAAGAAACACTGCAACATTCTGAATGTGTTGATTTTTGGTCAATAGATCACCAGTTCTGTCTTTGCAGACCATGTTAGTCTAGAAGCTCCCCAGAAATCTGTTCAGTATCATAGCAACACAGGAGCACCCACTGACAGATGATAAGAGGCTGTGTGTGAGGTGCTAGTTGAGCATTGAACCTGTGTTCCCCATCTGAAAGATGAGAATTCAACTACTGAATCACAGATTACCCAAAGCCATCACAGTCCAGTCGATGCTCAGTCATGGTACCCACTGAGCACTCAATAAGTGATAGCTCTTCTTTCTATTTTTATTATTAACCCTGATTACTGGGTTAATCACTGGAGGGAGATAATCCAGGTATGGCAATCCAGAATCTGAAGTGCTTCCAACAGGCTGAAGGACACTTTAGAAGATGAAGGAGTAGAGGCATGAGGCGGAGTTATTAAGAAGAGCTGTGTGTTGGATATTCAGCTACAAACACTCTTTGGAACGATGCAGGTGGCAACTTGGAAGGACAAACCTCAACTTGTACTGATGTATTTTTTTTAAGAAGCTGTAAATCTTGTTTTTAAGCATGAATCTCTACCTTGGGATTAAAGCACTTAATTGGACTCTAATCCCTTTTTAACAAGACAAGGAGGAGGAGAAAGTCAAGGGCTCTGCAAAGACCTGTGTGCTGGTCTGAAAGGAAAACAATCACCTCCTACACCTTCTGTCTTACAATGCTGTCTGCATCTCTAAAAGGTTCTAATTCTGTAATTTATGTCATTCTGCCCACCACTTGCCCCACCACCCCACACACACATACAAATACCTTTTCCTACCATTTATACTCCCCCTGCATGAAACACCATAAAGCTTCCTTCCTGCCACCCACACCCACATTCCAAAAGCTTTTCCACAAGTAATGCACGCTTTGTGCCCAAAGTCCTCCCTCTCCCCATACACACACACACACACACACACACACACACACACACTCCAAAAAGAAGATTGGGTGACTTAAAATCAACCCAAAGATTAGCAGAGCTTTTTCTGAAATCATACTTTCTGTATAAACCCCAAACCCCAAGCCCATTTTTATTGAGCTTCATTCCAATGCACGGCAATTCCATGTTACAAAGGCAACAGCTCCCTACAGTTTTCTTGATTATAATCTTCATGGGAGCAAAACGTAGCCTTTTTTTTTCCATAGCACTGGTACATAGATTTGAATTGCTCAACTTTAGACTACTAATTGAGCACAAACTTTTCTGGCCACCCAGAGAATTTATATATGGTGCTGCTGTTGTTGGTTGCTGGAGAACCAGTTCTCACTCCTGTATACCACAGGGATGCAGAATGGCACCACTCCATGGGGCTTTCAAGGCTGTGACCTTTCAGAAGCAAATCACCAGGCCTATCTTCCAGCGTGCCTTTGGACGGCCAGCCTTTCAATAAATAATAAAATGTTTAACCATTTATATTACCCAGAGACTCCTCTAAATAGATAGATTGAGAGATAGATAGATAGATAGATAGATAGATAGATAGATAGATGATAGATAGATAGATAGATAGATAGATAGATAGATAGATAGATAGATATAGACAGATGATAGATAGATACTGTTGTTGTTGTTGTTGTTATGTTCTGTCAAGTCAGAACCAACTTAAAACTGACCTTCCAGTGGGTTTTCAGATGCTGTAAATCACAAAGAAGAGATTTCCCATCTTTCTTCCAAGGAGCATTTGGTAAATTTGAACTGCCTGCTTTCATCACTCATACTGTGGGCATGTTGTTAGGAGAGGCTAGTCCTTGGCAAAGGATGTCACGCTTGGAAGGATAGAAAGTCAACAAAAGAAAGGAAGACCCTCAGCAAGAAGGACTGACACGGTAACTGCAGCAATGGGCTCAAGTGTATGAGGAATGATGACGATGGTACAGGATAGGACAGGATTCAGAGATGTTGTTCATAGGGTTTCCTCTCAGTCAGACTTCACTTGACAACATCTAACAACAAGCCTTTCAGGTGGCAGCACAACTTCTTACTACTAGGCCACCAGAGTTCCCCTGGTAGGTAGATAGAAAGACAGACAGATGATTTAAAAAAAGTCAAAGTCATTGAGTCAGAACCAATTCATAGCTCACCTTCCAGTAAGTAGGTTTCTGAAGCTGAAAATCACACAGGAGTTTGGTTATGTTTCTCCCACAAAGCCACTAGCAGATCCCCTGGTGGGTTCAAACCACCAGAGAGATTCCCTATAGACTGTGTCACCAGAGTGCCTTACCTCATAAGCTAGCTTGTTCAGCTGTGTATTGGCTTCCCCAAAGACCTAGTTGAGAGTCATTTCTTGTCTTTTTAATTCCTCTTCTTCGCCATTTACCTCACCTACAAAAGGCTGGAGTCCCTGAATGGTATAAACAATTACTGAGTTTCACAGCTAACCCAGAAGTCAGAGATTTGTGTCCACTGACACAGTGGGCTTGACAATCTACTTTCAAAAGATCAGCCATTGAAAACCCTGTGGAGCACAAATCTACTCTGAAGACAGTAATAGCACAGTAATTGGGTTTTTCTTCGTTGGTTTTTTGTTTGTTTGTTTGTTTTTTTAACAGAGGCTGGATTCAAGTGAGAAATTCTAGTAGGACTGATAACAAGTAGTATTTCTTCCTAGTTTTAACAAATGGTGATAATCTCAAAGTATAACATCCATGTGTTTTATATTCCCAGGGAGCCAATACGGCACCACTTTGATAACCTTTCCTTTGTTGAGATGGCTATGAATTGTAAATACTTCTGCACGATACTCTAAATTGTCTGAATTCACTCTCTAAGTACCCCATTTACAAGCTATATTAAAGTTGAGGGGAAAGTTAAACCAATGACACATTCCCCACTGCCTTTTCTTTCTCTCGTTTTTTCTTAAAACATGCAATTGTGTCTAGCTCATCAAGTCACCATACTTTCTTCCACCACTGCAACCAGCAGAGTCCCTAGTCCCTACTATTGTGTACGGTAAATAATGGGTGAATTTAATTGTACAAAATGTAGGCAGAACACTGTCGACTCTAGGATGTCTTTTTAGACACTGGAAATTGCTAAATTCATTAGACATTTTACAAAACACTTGAGAACTTTCTGTGTTCAAAGAGTTGAGGAATTAGACAAAACTCTGCGGCTTCCACCTACAAACTGGAAGGTCAGGCAGGAAACATAACCTATTTTAAAGAAAACATAACCACATAAGAGTTAAGATAAAGAGAACCTGAGAAGCAGGTCTAAATTGGGTATTAAGGAGAAGACCCCACTGAATAGATGGCATATGTAAGCTGAGACCTAGAAAACAAAAAAGTAGCTATCAGAGAGGAAGTCCTCGGAGAAGAACATTCTAGGCAGAGGAAACGGCTTAAGTAAAGGCCCTGTGAGACCACACTCACACTAAGCCGATGTGACTAGAATGTAACAAGAGAGAAACTGAACCAAGAACTGCGGTAAGACAGGTTATTGTAGTTGTTGTGCCATCGAGTCAGACTTGACCCATGGCCAACCCTCTTGTGGGTTTTCAGAGGGAGAAAATTGCATAGGAGGAAACTGCCCATCCTTCTCCCAGGGAGCAGCTGATGGTTACAAATCACTTGCCTTTGGGATTGCAGCACAACTTCTTATGACTAGATCAAGGAAAAACATTTGTGTTTTATTATAAATGCAATGAGGCCCCAACAGGTGTTTTGTTTTGTTTTTAAAGACAAAAACTGACATAGTGTGCCCTATTTTTTGAAAGTCTAGTGTGGTCACTGTGTGGAGAATGACAGTGAGGATAGAATGTAAGCTGGAAGTCTAGTTAGATAACTGTTGTAGGAATTAGAGACAAAGATATTACTGACTTGGACAAACACATCAATAATAGCTTCCAGGTCTGTTTCTGATGTAGAGTCAGTGTCTAAAAATTGCTGGCAGATTGGAGGGTGGAGAGTGATGCAGGAAAGAGTGGCATCAAGACTCATGAGTTGAGCACTAGTAGGTTATGGTGCCATATGCTTAAGCAGGAG